CTTTTGGATAAATCTCTGAAGCAAATGCTGGAGGAGCAGAGATGCTACCCAACATGCGACTTGCCTGCTTGGCGAATGGATGCCGAAAATCTGCACAATTACGAATCGTACTCAATTTGAATCAAAGAGAAAGTAATCAATAAGAATGAATAGCACGGCAGGAGAGCCCGCCTCTGATGAAACTCCAGGTCCAAGACTGCTAGTTCTAACACAATCTTTCTTACCTGATTCAAATTTCACAGATTCTTTCTTAGAGGATGGTTCAGCATCATAGTAATTGTTACTGTCAAAGAGTTGTCTGCTTGATGTAGTATCCTGCTGAGTTGGTTCATTTATATTCTGGCACATATAAGCAAATTAATTTCTGTACAAATATTGTAAAGAGAACATTAATAACATAAGTTCAAAGTGTACAGTCACCTTCTGAACAAGGAATGCTTGATCAGAAACAAGGTCATCACTCCCTGCCATCTTTGAAGGATCATAAGTTAAATATTGTGCGTTGCCATCTTCAGCATCAAAGAATGCAAGGTACTCCTCAAGCATGTCAAAAGTAGAAGTATCATCTCCAACAGGATTAGAGAGATCATCAGTTTCAATGAATCCACCATCACCAGATTGAAGGTTATCAAAAGTATCCAACCAAGGTTCGTCCAGCAAGTAATCCACCTCCTCAGAATTCCCTGTCTGTCTTGATTCTCCTACGTATTCATGCTTGAGTGGTTTTCCATCAGCATCGTATGAATCGGGCAAATCAAATAAACTCTTATCATCAGACTGCTCTGGCTCACACTGATGTCCGGGGACACCCAACAAGAGCTTTTGGGCATCAACCGTGCTGGATGATTCCTTTTGATTGCTGACATCTTCCACAGAGTAGAAATTCAATGGAAGTGGAGCAACATCCGATGTAACATCTGTTCCAAAAGTCTGGCAAAAAGAAGCATTTTACCATAAGAAGATCAAGAAGCTTATTGTAGACTCAGAGGCTTCTCTGGGTGAGATTGGTATAGCCTAAAATGATAATTTAATTATATTCCGAAGACATGGCACTGGATACAATTTCTTATTTGCAAGAACAAGACCATGTGTCATTCAATAGATGAAGGGTGAGCATATAAGTACATAATCAAGTACATTATATATCATTTATCAGAAACTCCAATCTCTATACATTTCTAATAACAATAGGGTGGATTTTATGCAAGGAGAAGATGAAACAAACCACAACTGCAAACTGAAGAATGCACACAAACGACTTCCACCATCGGCTAATATGTATCAAACAAATGCAATTCCAATGTACTGTGTTTCGAACAAAAGATCATACAAGAATCTTTGTTCTTCCTAATTTCAATTATATCTCCAATGCCTTTTAAATCCAAACACGATAAAACTATCAGTGCACAAAATTTTGAAGCTACACCTTTTCAATGAAAATGCATGTGAAGATCTTTAATCATATTTCAATAAGATACTTGACTATTTCAACTTTTTACCTTCAGAAAATTAGCATAGAACTCCAAATTTATGGCACTGCCTTTCAAGGTAAATGAATTCTAGGATCACTGGACATATTTTACTTATATGCTTGTTTGTTTTGATTCATTTTTATATGATTGTTAAATGCTCTAAAATTTCCATCAATTTTCATGTAGGCAAACCCCAGAAACAGTTCTGTTGGATGGGGTTTTCTTTTGCGTGTGAGAAATAAGGAACTTATTTGAAAACAATCCACAATGGTAAACCAGTACAAACCTGCTCAAGGTCATGGCTGTCCAAATAGGCATCACCGCCAAAATCCACCTCTTCCTTAGTAGTCATTTCCACCTCATCGTCCTCCCACTCCTCCTCCACAAATGGTGCCCCGTACTTTTCTCCATTCTTCGGCCCAGAACCACTCTTTTGATATACTCGGCAGAGTACAAATGCATCCTTCTCCACCAAAATATACAGAGATTATAAAAATAAATATAGAAATAGGTCAAGAAATTCAATGAAGGATTAAGTTCTAAACAGAACCTAAACCAAAATCCTGAAAGGAAAGAAAAATAAAAGCATAATCTAAAAGAAAGAACAAATCCTATTCTAATCAAGAAAGAAGAAGATTTCATATACTAAATAAGAAAGAAGAAGAAAAAGAGATCAAATCAATCCTATTTGAAATATGATTGTCCAACATCAGTTCCCTTTGAATGACTATGATGAGAAACTAATGTTGGTTATTCAAGTAAAAATGATAACAATCCAAGCACCATAATGAGATCAATAATAATAAGCTCCCATTTGGCCCCCATTAAATTACATTTCACTTTTTTTAACTCCTATTCTCAATCACACAATCTTTCATTAAATAATATTATATGTAAACCGAAAACTTTTCCTTCTTTTTCTACCACTCATTTTTCAAAAAAATACTATTTAATCCATTTTCATTTCAAAAAAGGGGCCAAACGGGGGCTAATTGGCTAAATATAAAAATGGCAATTACATCTCAAGTTCAATGCTTCTCAATTCAAACAGACTCAAATTCTGCTTTCTTTTTCGGGTTAATACGCTAGTAGCACAGTAATAACGGCTATAAATAAAATATCTCTCAAAGTTTAATATTTCTAAATACCATTTCAGAAAGACTCAAACTCTGCTTTTATTTTTTAATTTTTTTTCATCATTTGCTGTTGGCATAAACTTACTCCGACATCCAAATCCTCAAAAAAGCATTCATCATATACTTTTCCTTTATTTTTTTTCCTTCAGAACACACCCATCATCTTTTTTCTTCAGGTTTCTTGAACATTCAATAATGCATACTACTTCTGTCAAAAGAAAATACATCTTTAAGTCAAAGCACGAATAATTAAGAATCGAGATACATAATCACACACCCCCACCTAAACAATTCCAGCTCTCTCCAACTCCAGATCAACGAGCCTGTATTCATGCATAACCCAGTTAGTCCTTGGACCCTTTGGAGCCCGGCCACTATGATAAACAAGAGTTTTCTTCATGCCGACAATCTCTGATTTATGGTAGACAGCCCTGTCCTTTCCTGTCGTCTTCCAATATCCTTTTTCAGTTGCCCGGTTGGTCCTTGATCCATTCCCATGCTTCTTGTCAAGAACACTGAAAAAATACCACTCCAAATCTCTAGTCTTTAGCCTTGACATGCCTAAAACACATCATATATATGATACAATTAAGATAAAATTTCCATACGTCAGAAGATAAGATATTCAAATGCTAAGTTAGTGGTGTATAAGGCCTCAATGTAGGCAGGATATACGCTACGTATTTGCATTGGACAGATGGATCTTTATAGAAATATGTAGTTAGCTAAAAGAAAACAGATGACATGACACGACACTTGAAAATTTACTAAGCCTCCATGTGATAGTGCATTTCAGTGGGAAACAGGATATAAATTGAGGAACTCTTATTCACATGTTTTGGCTCAATGGAAACGAATCAAGTAAAGGTAAATAAACACAATTGAGTGATAAATATATTGGACTTCGCTACTTGCACATTAACTTTTACCACCTTGTTGACAAAAAAATGTGTTGGCAAGAAGCTATTGGGTGAATAGAGTTTTTATTTAGGTTAGCTTCACAAACAGTCACTGAACTTACGGGAAAATTACAAAACGGTCACTGAAATTTAAAACTTTCAGTAACGGTCACTTAAGTTTCGGGGCGTTTTCGGAAACGGTCACTGAAGTTTAAAAATACTTTTTCCAGTTTTTTGGCTACTTTTCGGCCACTTTCAACCATCGATACCGCCGAATTTTGATACCGTTGAAAAGCCCATAATGTCCTCTTCAATTACGACCCAAAATTTCCCCGTAACTCCAAGGGATTCAACCGAAAATCGCCTTTTCAAATTTTTTGGGCGACTTTTACGGCAATTTTCCAGCGACTTTTGACCACCAAGACCTCCAAATTTTGATACCATTGAAAAGCCCACAATGTCCTAATTATCATCCAAAAACTCCCTCAAACTTCAAAGGATTCAGCCAGAATAAACCCACAGAGTCGGCTATTCCAGCCAAATTCTTTAGAGTTATGGGGATATTTTGGGTGGTAATTGAAGAGAAGATTGTGGGCTTTCTAACGGTATCAAAATTCGACGGTCTTGATGGTCGAAAGTTGCTACAAAAGTTGCCCAAAAAACTCAAAAATTTGCCCAGATTTTCGCCTTTTCGGGTAACCAAATTTGCGGATTTATTTCGGCTGAATACTTTGGAGTTTGGGGGAGATTTTTGGTGATAATTGAAGAGGACATTTTAGGCTTTTCAATGGTACCAAAATCCGGCGGTATTGGTGGTCGACAGTTACCGAAAAGTTGCCTCAAAAGTAGCCCAAAAAATCTGCCAAAATCTTCGCCTTTTTGGGTAGCCGACTTTGAAGTAGTTTGGGGGAGATTTTGGATAGTAATTGAAGAGAACATTGTAGGCTTTCCAACGATATCAAAATTTCGATGGTCTTAGTGATCGAAAGTGGTCGAAAAGTTGCCGCAAAAGTAGCCCAAAAATCTGAAAAAAAAAGTGTTTAAATAACTTCAGTGATCGTTTCTGCAAGTTTTTAAACTTCAATGACCATTTCTGAAGGCGTCTCGAAACTTAAGTGACCGTTACTAAAAGTTTTAAATTTCAGTGACCGTTTTGTGATTTTCACGTAAGTTCAGTGACTGTTTGTGAAATTAACCCGTTTTTATTTTATAAACTATCCTATGACAGAATGCCACAGAGTCCCATACCATTTGATCAAAAAAGCTGTCAAATAGAATGTACACCAAGTATGATTAAAATATAAAATATACAAATCACTTTGCTTTAATTTTCCAATCACGTGCTCAAAACAATTTCAACTAGAGCTTCCTCTTGGGAAGGGATAAAAGGTGAGGGAAATTATAGTCCAGCAAATTGAAAATAGAGTTACCGCTATCCATCATTAAGTTGAACAATATCAAATAAAATCTCAAAAAATGCCACGACAAAACAGAGGCCAGTTAGTATATAACTCATTCAAAGAATAAGACCGGTTAAATCTTTTTCCATATAGTTCACTCCAAAAATAGATTACACCCTAAAAAAATGGAAAAATTGAACTTAAAGTTGAATGCCAAACTAGATAATTATATTAAATAACAATACCCGCATGAAAATTACAGTCAAACATTTGAAGAAACGAACCTCGATTATAATAAAGCAAAGGGTTCCAAGTTCTAACTTCTAACTACAAAACTGAAACAATAAAAAAAATCTTAAACAAAAAAGAGAAAAATATAAATCACGAAAAAGAAGATTCTAGAAAGTCATGGCTTACTAGGGAGATCCCAAGGTTCGGCTCTGTAAATATCGATATCAGAAATAGCATCAAATCGGAAAGACTTCCCGCATACTTTTCGCCGTAAATAGTAACGCACGAGCTCCTCGTCCGTCGGATGGAATCGGAAACCCGGCGCCAGCACACTCGACGAGGATGCGAAGGATGATTTCTTGGGAGTAGAATCCATTTCCCAAAAGAAAAATGAAGAAACTAATCGTAATGAGTTTTAGGGTGTTTTAATTTATGGAATTCTGAGAATTTTTATCTTCCAGCGGGTGGGTTGGGGGCTTAATGAACTTTGAAGAAGAGCAACGCCATTGGTAATAGGAGTCATCAGCGCTTACGTAACTCCGTTTACTCGGATATTTAGGGGGAAATTTCTGGATCAGGACAAAATAGCGACAGAATGAAAGAGTTGAATTGCACAATATTTTTATCTTGTTATGCTACTTGTTTACTCATTTCGTTGACATCCTCAGGTGAAACCTACTAGTGTGGCAAGTTAGTGTACAGGCAACTCTTGCTCCTTGGTTTGTTGGAGCACATCCCGCGATTTACCTCCTTCACAAAGCTCTAGGGACGGGACAGTGGAGCCCTCAAGGTTGGAGTTCAACCTTTTTTTTAACTAGTGTGGCAAGTTGGCTGGCTGGGAGGGTATCAATGCGTAATAGTATCAATCCAACTACACTACTTTTAGTGAGGATTAGTGTAAATTATTAAAATTGGTCCTAATGTTCTCTTTCTTTTAGACAATATGTAATTTAGCGAAAGTAGGCTTAGGCTCCTAATCTAGTGTGGTTTTGGTCCTTTTGGATCTCCAACCCTGAGGTTCTAGGTCTCCCAATATGTGAACCTAAGTCCCTGAGATGAAAAATGTCAATGTGTGTTAAAATCGCACATGGCTTTTTACGTAACTTAAAATTGAAGAGAGCCCTGTTACCAAGCCACCCATTTTAAATGCCAAGCCCAGCATGGCCACACACAGGTACTTAGCCACACACAAGACAAGGGTTAGCCAAGGCACAGCTCTGTCCAAACCATTTCTTGAACACCACTATTGTTCCGTAAAGCAAAGCTAGGAGGTAATTTTCTCCAATATTCCAAACTATTTTCCATTAACTTATATATCTCACAGTCTATCAGTAAAAATCTCCCCTTCGATGGCTGTAGATTCAAGCCTTGATGATCATTGAGAAGAAACAAGCTATAAGTACCGTTACGTGCTTGTGCTGCTACTGAAATTAACTACAGATAAAACAATCAAGAGTTCAGAATTCGACCCTTATTTAGTTCATAAAGAAGTCATAAGCATCAAGATGGTAGATGTTACATTACATCATATTACATTAAAAAACTATATGAAGGTAATGCAGGTGCTACAAACAGATAAGATGTCTCGGAAGATCCATTACTCATCTTCTTTTCCCAGATACCATACGCAACTGGAGAATCTTACACAAGTTCGAGCCAAAACTAGAATCTTAGCCCTCTCGGATAAGTCTTCTTAAATCCTCGTTCTCTTTGCTCAAGAGATCAATGCGTGACTGAAGAACATTAATCATGGCTTGGGCTCTCATCACTTCGATCTTAAGTGTCTCCCTTTCCATGGAAACATTTAGGATCCCATTCTCTAAATTGTTGATAAATTTTAAATATCCAGGAGGCACAGATTTCTCAAGATTGGACGAATCGAATGTAGGAGGGTTGACTTGATGACTTTCTTTGGATTCTACTAGAGGAAATTCCAAAAGTGCACGGGAGGAATTTGTCGTCATTATCATTGTTTGTGGTTCCTGGCTAGTTGTAGTTGAATCTTCGGATCCATTTGCATGGCTCGCATTTGGATCACCTTGCTTCGATCTTCTACTTTGAGCCAGAGAGAGTTCAGGATCCTCTGACCTCTCCCTCTTGCAAACAAACGAAAGACTTTGCGACTCAGTTGGATTCTCAATTTGGAGAGGAACCATGCTGAGAGAGTTATTTTCCTACAAAAAACAGAAAAAAATTAACGGTCACCTATAAACACATGTTAACACTGAAAGAAATAAGACCTTCTAAACAATGTGACTTGGATATGAATATGATTTACAAGTGTGTAACTGAGTAGGGACGGACATATTTATTAATTTCAAAAAAGGCAAAGCAAATTAATTCCTTTTCATTTCATATTCCACAATCCACATTATAGCGAATGTGAATTTTCCTCCTTTCTCCATGCATAGATTCACATGCCAGAGACATTCAGAATTAACCAGTTTTCCCTTTTTATTATAATTTATAGTTTTACAAGATCTAATCTCAACTCTCCTTCAGAAATTAAAGGATCAAGCCCTGTAGTTCAGCCAATTAATTATCATTATTAAGAAAGAACTTAGCAAAATGAAAATCCATCCTCCCTCCCTCTCAGTACACGTGTGTGTGTGCATTTTTCCCTTCTTCCAAATAAGTCAAGCTGAAAGCTGAAAAGTTACGCTGAAATGAACAAGAAACTAGCTGAAAAGATTAGTTTACTTTAGAAACCATCAATCTGTTGCTAGTTACTAGTTAGCAAAGTAATAATTGTCGTCAAACACTTTCTACGCAAGAACTGCAGTGTGTTTATCAGGAAATGCAATGTGCTAGAGATGATTAGCATAAAAGAACAATACATGCTTTAAATCATTTTCTGTCAGCAGTTATCTTGGGAGAAAATACATATCCGTTAGAACATATTTTGTTTCCAAGGCTAGAATTTATTTTCCATTCCGAGAAAATGTATCAGATACTCCCAAGACTAGCAAACTTTGCACAAAAGCTTAACAAAAAATAAATTCCTGTTCAATATGTGCATTGTCCCTTTGTTCTAGTTCTTACTAGTCTTAGATAGATTGAAATATACGACAAAGCAGCAGGTTCATTTAAAGCTAACAAACAAACCTGGTCATTGTCGTTGCCCCCATCTCGTGCTTCATCACCATTGGCCAGCTCATCTTCAGCTTCTCCTCCAGGAATGACAAGGGCCGCCTCATCATCCCATTCCTCATCAATAAAAGGAGCATATCGGTCCCCATTGGGTGGTCCTAAACCACTCTTCTGGAAAATTCTACATAGCACAAATGCATCCTTTTCTCTCCCGAAACAGCAAAAGGAATTCCGTTTTTAAAATACAGAACTTTCAAGAAAGACAAAAAAGTTTAACAGGCACCACATTGAAATGGGATAATCTTAGCATTGGACTCCAATCTAAAGAAGGAGTATTAAGCTGGTCCCCAACCTTTAAAAGGGAACAAGTTGGTGACTTAGTTCCCAATGAATTGTCTCACTTCAAATTTTTGTGCAGCTCAAGTTGGAAAACAAAAATAGCTTGGAAAAGTTGGACATGTGGAAGCCATGCAACAATTCCATTGTTAAAAACTATTTTGCAACTATAATATAAGTTTGATGACCAACTTGTTCCCTTTTAAAGGGTGGGAGAAACTTGCACGGACAATAGATTGGGGACAAATGGTGCAAATTTCCCATTTGAAATTCTGAAATCACACCTGTACTACTCTGGCCCTTTCCAATTCTACATCAGCTAGTCTATACTCGTGCATTACCCAATTTGTTCTCTTGCCATCAGGAGCACGACCACTATGGAAAACTAGGGTTTTCTTCATTCCAATAGTTTCATTTTTATGACGCACAGGCCGATCCTTCCCGGTGGCTTTCCAGTACCCTTTGCCAGTGGCACGATTGAGCCTTGATCCATTACCATACTTCCTATCCACAGGGCTGAAAAAGTACCATTCTAGATCTCTAGTCTTCAGTGACGAATAGTCTTTTAAGGAAAAGATCATGAGATATTTCATTAGCAAAATGGCACGAAAAACTTCACAGATGACGATTACACATGGAAACACGAGAATTTAATGACCAACGACAGAAGCACAGAATTCACTCCAAAAGACTTAAAATGCAGATGATACTGTTAAATGAAATCCCTTGATCCCAAATGATATACCAAAACACGTGAATTGAAGCAGTAGCGTCTATATTCCTATCTATCTTTTTCCTTCTAAATTACTATGACTTCTCATCTTATTATACTTGAAAGTTTCAATGTTCTTCCCTTTAGAGCATTTACTTCAACACCAAAATATTAGCCTATGTTTTGTTCATGTTTACAAACTGTTGATAAAGACTCAAGTAACTTATTATTCACATATTTTGGGAGACGCACTTATCCAACCGTCATTTCTATCTATTTATAATTAAACTGTTTATAAACAATTTCCAAACATGCATTCTTTTTCCACAAAATTTTCATTAAAAAATAAACTTCATCACGTTTTGCATCTTATTTAGTAATGGATATATCTTCATTGTGTCTGATTTCCAAAATCTCATCATCATTTTATTTTGCACAACAAAAGTTTCAGCATGTTTGGCAGTGCTTAAAAGCTATATTTTAAATTTATTAAGCGCAATCAAAAATCATCCCACAGAAAATTAACGCCTTACAATTTGTTGGGAACACAAGTACAAAAACCCAAATAAATTATAATTCCGAAGAATTAAACATCTAAACCTGAAAATAATAATAATAATAATAATTTTAGAAAAAACTTGAAAAACCATGCCTATGGTTTCAATTTTTTATACACATGCATATGTATATATATATGTGTGTGTTTTATGTGCGCACGAATAGATATCTGTACCGGCAAGTTCCCAGGGTTCAGATTTGTAAACATCAATTTCAGAAACGGCCTGAAATCGAAAGGGCTTTCCACAGGCCTTTCTTCTCAGATAGTACCTCACTAACTCCTCATCGGTCGGATGAAATCTGAACCCCGGAGCCAAAGATGTCGGCGCCGGCGTCCGAACCACTGCCGCCGCAACCACCTCTTGTCCCATCTTCACTCCCAGATATATTATTACCCAAAAAACAAATCTTTCGAGTTAATTACTGTGTGCTCTCTCTTTTGAACAGAAAAATTGAAAATCTGAGATGATTGCAAGTAAATAAAAAATAATTATGTTAGGTTTGATAGGAAATGATAACAGAAGATTAGAATACAAGCAAAGTTTGGCAAATTAAAGGCACGAAAAGGAGGGATTTACAAGAAAAATTAAAAATTGGGTTTGCCCATTGGTAAAGAAATTGAGTGAGTGTGCAGTTGGTGCTGTGTTGGATCGATGCTTGCTTGACACGGAAATCGAAAATCAAATAAAAAATGTGGATGCATTTCATGCGTTGTTTTCACTTTTCAAGTTATTTTTAATTTTTAATTTTTAATTGTAAAATATTTTCAATATGTATGGTCTTATATTTCTTAAAATACATTTTCAAAATAAGATTAAATTTATAACTTAATAAAATTAAAAATGCATTTTTAACGTTATGAATATTTTTAGTGAAATTTTTGAACACACTCAAAATATGGAAAATAAACGTTTAAATCGATGATAACTTTAGCTACACTCCATATTAAAACCCTCTTCCCATCATCACTTCCCCACCAAACTCTGCTTCTATCTCTCCATTTCTCTCAATTATCACATTATACCCATGTTTGTTTCTTATTATTTACTCATTAAAATGAAAAATATGGCCGTTATTCATTACATCAAGCCACCTTATTTGAAAATCTATTTCTTATGTGAGGCCGTAACGGCTATATTTTTCATTCCCAATTCTTATATTAATATGGCTTAAATGGGGCCTACTTTCTAAATTTCTTCGACGATAAACTCGTCTTGCTTTGCTACAAGAGAAAGTATGCCGATATTGTTATACGAGTATAATAGAAACATTCCTCGACAAAAAGAATCACCTGAAAATGATTAGCTATTAAGAACGAATTAAATCAGATGATTCTATTTCTCAATCTTTCTAATTGCTCCTACGAACGAAGGTCAAAAAATAAAAATAAAAAATAAAATTTTAACATTTTAAAATAATTAAAAAATCCAAAATAAAATCTCGAATTCTAAAAAAATAAAATTATAAAAAAAATAGAATACAAACAAATAAAATTTTAACATTTTAAAATAATCTAAAAAACTAAAATTAAAAAAATTAAAAATTAAAAAAGATCAAGTTCTTAATGGTTATTTACATAAAAAAATTAAATGAACGTGGATAAAAATATTCTCAATTCATGTCATTAATTTTTATTTTTATCTTACATTTTTATAAAGTTAAAAATATATATTGTAAGATTTCACCAACTTGAAAATGTATATATGAGTTGATAATATATTTAAATAAAATTGTTCAAAATTTCGAAATAAACGTGTTTTCCAAATTTCTATTTTGAGAAATATTTTTTTTCAAAATGACAAATCAAATATTTTTTTAGCAATTTTAAGTATACCTTCAAAACAAAAAACTGAAAATGAACAAGAAACTTGACCACACATGCCCCTCTTTTTTGGAACAGTTCATAAAAAGAAATTTGCATTTTCGTCCTTAATTTTCATGAACGTAACTAATCTCCTCTCAATTTTTTTAGTATAATCCATTCCTAACCTTTTATATATATAGCAAAATTCATCTTTTCCTAAATAAACAAAAATAAAAGAAAGAGTATAACAACTAAAATAAGGAAAAATTGCAAATAAAGTCCTGTAAATTTGAAAAAGTACAATTAAACTCGTTTAAAATAATCAACACGAGCATGATATAGTACAAAAAATGAATTGACTTATATTTGCTTAAAGATAATAATTGATTAACTTCTATTCATCTATTTATATGTTAACAATAGATAAAGATGAGTGCGGATTAAAATAAAAAATTTACCATTCTCTTTAATCACATATTTTATAAGACCAAACAAGAATTACCAACTCATTCGTCACTCATTTCGATAATATTTTAATTTTAGTAACTCATAAACCGGAACTCATGCCTTCTGCCTTTCATATTGAAAAATTAAAGAAGTGTTTTCGAGTAATTATTGAAAAAAATGTTGTTAAGTGATCTAATAGTGTCAAATGTTTATCACATTTTCAAAATTATTTATATACAATTGAGAAATTTTTCAAATTTGAGTGACCATTGGAAAAAAATTTCAAAGTTCAAGTTATCGTTGAAATATTTAACCCAAAAGGTTAAGCTCAATGTTTACTTACAGCTTTATAAAAAAAAAAATAATAATAATAATAATAAATAAATAAGCAAAATATAAAATATATATTCTTCAATTCGTGAAAGATGAAAATATATAAGTTACAGAAAATATTAGATTTTTCTCTTTTTAGTCGTAACCTTTAAATTAAATGATCTTTTTTAATCGCAAAAGTTGGTTTTTCCCTTTACTCCTTTTCAATTTTCACTTTATACTAATAATTTTTTTATTTAACTGCGCACAATGGAAAATCTGTCCTATTTTATACTGAAATCTTTAGAAGGGACCTGTTGTGATGAAAACCCAAGTTTAGGTTCTGTTTCTCAAGAAAAAATAAATGATGGTCCAAGTTTGATTGATTCGAAGAATAGGGACCATTTTCCTTTTTATTTATTTTATTATTTTCACATATTACCTTAAGGACAATCAGTCAAAAATATTGATTTCGTAGAGAATTGATTGATTCTGTTCAAAAGAGAACAATCAAATGGTTGGATTGATTTTGTTCAATTTTTCGATTTTTTGGGTTCATGACTTAAAAATAAGCTATTTTTGACTTTTTAAAGTAAATTTTTTGGACAATCGGACTTATGATAACGTCTCAGATAAATAGAAGTTCAATCACATATAATTAACTTGAAGACTCAAAAGAAAAAAGGTAGAACCCCAACCTTAAGGGCCCCCACGGACCCTGCCCTGAGCCATCGTGGAGGAGGTAAATCGCAGGATGTGCCTCCCAGGAGCCAGGATGGAGAGCACATAAATAGGCCAAGGCTGTTAACCCATATGGTAACTCCCACTTGCAACAAAGTCAATTCCAAAAAAAAATATATATATATATATATATATATATATATATATTCTTCCATTCGTGAAAGATGAAAATAAATAAGTTACAGAAAATGTTAGATTTTTCTCTTTCTAGTCGTAAACTTTAAATTAAATGATCTTTTTTAATCGCAAAAGTTGGTTTTTCCCTTTACTCCTTTTCAATTTTAATTTTATACTAATAATTTTTTTATTTAACTGCGCACAATGGAAAATCTGTCCTATGTTATACTGAAATCGTTAGAAGGGACCTGTTGTTACGAAATACCAAGTTTAGGTTCCGTTTCTCAAGAAAAAATAAATGATGGCCCAAGTTTGATAGATTCGAAGAATAGGGACCATTTTCCTTTTTATTTATTTTATTATTTTCACATATTATTTTGGACCACGTGATGGTACGTTAACATAATTTGCTTTTAGGATTTCAGGTTTTTGTTTATAGTAAGTAGGTACGTATTAATTATTAAAGGGGTTGTGACTATTTGGGGAGAAAAATCTAGGGTCTGGGACTAAAATTGACATTATATTTTCATTATGATAGGTAGAATTCAATTACTTTTTAAGGACAATCAGTCAAAAATATTTATTTAGTAGAGAATTGATTGATTCTGTTCAAAAGAGAACAATCAAATGATTGGATTGATTTTGTTCAATTTTTCGATTTTTTGGGTTCATGACTTAAAAATAAGCTATTTTGACTTTTTAAAATAATTTTTTTGGACAATCAGACTTATAATAACGTCTCAGATAGATAGAAGTTCAATCACGTATAATTAACTTGAAGACTCAAAAGAATTTCTATGAGAGTTGGTGTAAACCAATAATTATTACTTATTCTTAAAATTTGTATTTTTAACTTATGCACGGCATACGAAAATGACATACACAAGTGAGTCGGCAAGCGAAACAGATCCAAAGGACGCGAATTGCTCCTTTGTTTAGAAACGTCTATTTTGGCACATTTATTAAGAGAACAGTAACAAATTTTATGAAATGTGTGGATAATAAATTTAATTAATGTAGTTGAAATAATAAATTTTACTATCATTTTTCCTAATATATTCTTACACTAATGCAATCAATATTCAAGGTAATTAAATTAGGCATGCATTAATATTCAAGGTTATCACACTATTATTGGTACTAATCATTGTTTTATGCAAGAATTAAGGTAATTAACATTTCAAAGTCATCCAATACAAATACAAATGAATAAATGTCATGGGAGATATATATATACATACACACGCAAAAATGAATAAATGTCATGGTTTTTAATTTATTGTTACAACTACAAATGAATAATGGAATGATTTATACTTGTGATAACAAAGCACGTTAATAAGAAATGAAATCATGCCTTTTGTTTTTGCCACATATTAATTTTGCCTTTAATTCTACCTTTAATTTGTATATATGTGAATTCATGTGCATGTTTGGTATCTTTTACATGTTGGTAAAAGATTTAGACAATAAAAAATTTAGCTAATTTTGTTATTTTCTTATATATGAAGATTCTTTTTCTTAATGTATATTTGGTAATTAATTTATATATATAAATTCATATCCCATGTGTTTGGTAATTAATTTTTATATCATATATTGTTTGTACGGTAATTAATATTTTTAACCTAATTAAATATTTTTGATGCTCTTTTGTAAATTTTAAATTGGTAATCCATCGTGGTATTGTTCACACTACATTATGATTAATATTCTATGAAAATATTATTTGATCCTAAAAAGTATTAATTATAATTTTCAATATTTCAAAAGAATATTGGCATGTTGCTCCTGAAGAAGCACAACTCTTCAAATATTATATTCTCGTAGAAAATATAATTCTGAATAATTAATTTTTCAAAAATAATAATTTGCTGTTTTTCCTGAAGTAACATACTATTATTTATATTTTACTTGCTCTCGAATAACATGGTTAAAAATTATATTTTTATTCGTGAAGAGTAAATTCTTATATAATTTATTATTTTAAAGAGTAATATCCTATTGTTCTTGAAGAACATGACAGTATGATTCCAATATTATTACCTATTCTTAGAATTTGTATTTTTAACTTATGCACGGCATACGAAAATGACATACATAAGTGAGTCGGCATGCGAAATAGATCCAAAAGACGTGAATTGCTCCTCTGTTTAGACACGTCTATTTTGGCACATTTATGAAGAGAATAGTAGCAAATTTGACGAAATGTGTAAATTTAGTTAATATAGTTGAAATAATAAATTTTACTATCATTTTTTCCAATAT